TTTTTTCTGAAGAAGGGTCTAGACCCGAAACGTCAGTTTTCCTGCTCCTCTGATGCTGCTTGGCCTGCCGTGTTCATCCAGCTCTACACCTTGTTATCTCAAAAACAAGTATCTACCTGTTTTAATCTGAATTTCCAGCACATGGCTCACAGCTTTGTGTGCCTTAGCTTTGCAAGTTCACATCTAAATACTTCTTAAATGTTACGAAGATTTCTGCCTCTACCACCATTACAGGCAGTGAGTTACGGATTCCCAGTGAGTTACAGATTCTCACCATCCTCTGGGTGAAAAGAATCTTCCTTACATCCCTGTAAATCTCCTGTCCCTTACCTTAAATTTATGCTCAGTGTTCATTGATCCCTGCATCAAGGGGAAAAGTTCATTTCTGTAGTAAAGCATTGTTGAGGATTGATAGTATACATGAAACTTGATGTGACATTTCAGATGATTTTACTGAGGGGCAGAATGTTAATGATAAATAGTATTTATATTGTATTTTCACTACTTGACCTTGCAAAGTGTTTTATAGCTAATTAAGCAACTTTTTTGAAAGGTGGTCACTATGTAATGTAGGAAACATGACAGTAAGTTACATTCAAAAACTCCTACAAACAGCAATAATCTTTTTAATTAGATGGTGATCAGATGGTTATTGTAATGTTGATTGAGGGATAAGTATTGGTCAGGAAACCAGGAATAACTACCCTTCTCTTCTTCAACATAGACTTGTAGGATCTTTAACATCTGTCTGAGTGGGCAGATAGGGCTTGTATTTAACATTTCATCTGAAAGACTGTTTTTCTCGAACAGAGCAATGCTTCCTTAACACTGCAAATAATTGTCAGGATATGACTTTTTTTTTTGCTGAAACTCTGGAGCAGGACCAGAACTTTTGTGATTTAGATATGAATGACTTATCACCTAAGCCGCAGCCAAAAGGGGAAAAAGGATGGACGCTTTAAAGGACAGCAGAAATAATGCTGCAGGGTCAGCAAGGTAAGTAACAGGAGGTGGTTCTCTGGTTGCAATGGATCAGGGATACGTGAAACTAAGCAGGAGATGTTGCATCAAGTTTCATGTTTAGTGTCAGTCCTGAACAATGCTTTACTGTAGAAATGAACACTTTTCCCTTGAAGCAGGGATCAACGAACAGCAAGCATAGATTTAAGGCAGGGTTCAGGAGATTTACAGGGGATGTGAGAAAGATTCTTTTCATCCAGAGGGTGGTGGGAATTCACTACTTATAAGGGTGGTAGAGGCAGAAACCTTCACAACACTTCAGTAGTATTTAGATGTTTCACAGGTACATGAATAGGAAAAGCTCAAAGGGATATGGGCCAAATGATGGAAATGGGATTAGTTTAGTTTGGAAACTCGGTTGGCATGGCCGAGTTGGACCGAAGTGTCTGTTTCCGTGCTATATGACTCTATAAGAACAGTTCTATTCAATTAACTAATACAGGAAAATTAAATGGTGGCAATTGGAAATCTTATTATCTCAGATTTCAGCAACTGTAGAGAAAACAATGGGGTAAAACAAGTATTCACTGAGATTACAAGCATTATATAGATCCAGCTACTGACGCAGATCCAAAATGCAGAGTCAATAGTTGATCAACTCATACAATGTTCAGGTTTTTGTAGTATTAAAAGTAGGCGTTTTGCTTTAAAACTTTATGTGGAATACCAGAACAAATCTAGATGCACTGACCTGAAGATGGTTTATTATAGCTCAAAAGTCCTCACTGGCTCAAAGTCACAAGCATTTATTTTTTCACTTTAATAGTACTGACTGAGACTATATGGAGTTAAGTTTATTTACTCTTTAATGCTTTGGCACAGAATTACAGGCAACAAGTATTGACATCAACATGAATGACTCCAAAATTATGTAATCTTCCCAATAAACGCACATATAATCCAAAGTGAACTCTAAAGTTTAGATGAGAAAATATTGTATAACTTGCTTAACCCACTTAAATATTTCACAAATAAAAATTCTAAGTGCAGAAAATTCAAAAGTATCTAGGATTGCAAATATTGAAAATTTCATCAAAAAGCTCAAAATTCTGCATTAAAATTAGTCAACATTAATTTGCTCCCATATATTCAAGATTCATAACTTTTATTCTACTTGCAACCGACTACTGATCCACTGTTAGGTTATTCAAAAATGTTTGACATACTCAAGCCAATTTGCAAAATACATATAAAAAGGTAAGATAAAACTGACCTGATCATGGTCAATGTCTGTATCCCCTGTGATTACAATTCGCTTTTCAATTCTTGTTTCAGAGACTCCACCTTTCACAGTCTAAGGACAAGTTAAGACAATGTCAGCATTGATTTCTTTTTCCATGATTAAATGATTAGTTTAAAAATTAAGGTCACTTTTGTAGCCAGTTTCAGTTGGCTGGATTTTGCTCTCAGTAATGAAACAGTATCTAGCCATTCACTGGAGGGGCTGGGATGTGAAAGGGTTTGAGCAAGTGAGACAGAGAGATAGATGTATAAAGAGGCAGAAACAAATAGTAAAACTGCCATGTGAATCGCAAAAGGTTAGGATGTAGATATTGCAAGTAATTGGGAATGAAAACACATTGCTATCATTTATTGATAGAGGAATAAAAACGTAGGTAAGTTATACTTCAGGGATACTGCAATTGGCAAGACCACATTTGGAGTACTGTATACACTACTGATCGCCTTATTTAAGGAAGGATGTGAGTGTAGTGGTAGCATTTCAGAGAAGGTTTAGTAGGTATACACCTGCAATGGGCAGGTTGTCTTAGGAGGAAAGCTTAGACAAGCTAGTCAAGTATCCACGAGAATTTAGAAGTACAAGAGAGAACTTAATTAAAACATTAGATTCTGACTGTTCTTGCAAATGTGTATATGGAGAGGGTATTTCCTCTTGTAGGAGAAAGTAGAGCTAGATGTCACCGCTTAAAAATAAGGGGTTGGCCATTTATGTCAGAGAGGAGGGGAATCTTGAACACTGAGGCACAGTTTCTGGTAAGGGAATTTATCTTTTACGACTGAGGAGAGCAATTTCCTTCGCTCAGAGCTGTGAATCCTTGAAATCCTTCCACGGTGGGTAGTGGTTGCTCCATCATTAGAGGCTCAGATAGAGGGATTGAGTGCCTCAGGCAATCAAAGGGAGGGGGATGAGGAGTTCAGACTAATGATCAAACATGATCATACTGCAATAGTAGAGCAGGCACTTAGGCCAATACAATCTTCTTCTGATACTTCTTATGTTGCTAGGTCTTCCAGCTGCTGCATCATGACCTCAGGTTTCTCTTATAGCTATATCTTTGGCCCTTCGTTTTTCTCATTTCACTACTACACTTGGGAAATAAAATCTAAAAATACAGCATTAGTTTTCATACGTATGCTGACAACACCCAGTTCTACTTCATCACCACCTGTTAATTCCTCCATTCTTGCTACATTTTCTGCCAATTTATTTCATGATCAGTATTAGGATGAACAAAAAACTTCCTTTCAGGAAGGACAGAAGTAATGTTTTTGATTCTCATACAGTTCTGTTTCCTAGCTACTGACTTAATTTCCTTTCCAGGCACCATCTGAAGTTGGACCAGGCATTGGTGTCATATTTGCTGCCAAGATGAACTCCCAAACATACAGCATTCTTTTTAAATTCACTCATTGGATATGGACATACCAAACTGCCCAACTCTAATTGCCCTTGAGAAGGTGGTGAGCTGCTTTCTTGAACCCACTGTATCTTGTGTGTCATAGGTACACCTACAATGTTGTTCAGGAGAGAATTCCAGGATTTTCACCCAACAACACAAAGAACAGCAATATACTTTCAAGTAATGGAAGTGAGTGGCCTGAAAGAGAACTTGCAGGTGGTGATTTTTCCAGATATCTGCTGCTTTGATCATCCAGATGGTATTGGTCAAGAGTTTGGAAGATGCTGTCTAAAGGGCTTTGATGAATTTCTACAGTGCATCTTTTAACAGTGTACAGTTCTGCCACCTGAACATCAGTGGTGGAGTGACTGAATGTTTGTGGAGGTGACACTAATCAAGTGAGCTGCATTACTCTGGATGGTGTCAAGCTTCTCAAGTGTTGTTGCAGCTACACTCATCAAGGCAAGTAGAATGTATTCAGTGACACTCCTGGCTTGTGCTTTGTGGTTTTGGGGAGTCAGAAGGTAAGTTATTTGCTGCAGTATTCCTACCTTCTCACCTGCTGTTGTAGCCACTCTATTTATATGGTTAGTTCAGTTCAGTTTCTGATTGTTGGTAATCTCCAGAATGCCGATAGTGGATAGATGTTGAAAAATTAAATAGGGGAGCTTTTCTGTAGTTTAGAGAACTAGTAGCTTACTGTTTGGTATTTCAAATAATGTTGCTTTTAGTTTATTATGGTAAAATATTAACTACATTAGAAATTCATAATAACTGATGTATTTTCTTTTAAATGTACACTATCCAATGATAGGATTTCCAATTGATTATAATGACAAGTGATGGTTCACTAGCTGCAGTCAAAGTAAATCATGATAATTGAACTGCAATGCTGTCAACAATAGTAAAGGTTTTGTTAGCAAGATAAGATGAGAGTTAGAAAGAAAAGGAGCTTAAATTCAGCAGTAAATTTCAATGATAGCATGCAAACAAAATTATACTTATTGTATTGGCCAGGCCAAACTCTGATGCGATGGTCTACTATCTATTGCACACCTTGGTAATCTGGGTGGTCATTGTTGTACAAATAGATTCAGAAGTTATAGTTTGAGCACTCATCAGGACACCAGGCTCATTGTCTCCACTGCCATCACCCTTAAAATACAACAAAATAAGGAAGTCCAATCAGTTTGGCCAGAAACAATATTATCGCACTGTTGAATAAATAAAATACCCACTCTAGATTGATAAATCTGTTAAATCAAAAGCACAGTGTTAAAAAAACTTCAAACACAAACATTTTAACACAATTGCTCGATGGAGCTAAACAATAACAGAAGTCATCAACTAACATGGTCTTCAAGCTATTAACATCTGATTCGTCGCCTGAATATTGAATAAATAAATAACATTGCAGGGGGAACTAATAATGGGTACATATATTAATATATCAAGTGGTGTGTCCCTGATCTCTCAGAGCACCAGATGAAGTTGAAGTGTAGCATAAACTGAATATTATTTCTATGTTATAACGATTCCATCTCTAGAAACTAAGAATGCTTCAAATCTCACTTACTTAAATGCACACTTGATGGATTTACAATACAGACTTACTGTGTCAGGGTACTTACCTACAATGAAAAGCATAAAACAGTGCAGGATTGTACATTAAAATTCATTATACAACAAGAATGGATACAACTATATAGGTGCAATGTTTTAGGACACATCAAAATTCTGAATGTCACTTTGAACTGAGGAGACACACATGTTGACAAAGTGCTGCACACTGACAGCAAATATATCTGAATATTCAAATGGAGAATGCACGACTATCATCAATTTTTTAAAATTCATAAGATATGGATGTCACTAGTTGGCCAGCTTTATTGCCTGCCCCTGACTGCCCTTGACAAGATGGTGGTGAGCTGCTTTGTGAACCAATTGGAGAGTTTATCTTTACCCAAATCTCCCTCCAGCAAGTCAGTTACAAAGACAGGTGGGCAAAGATCATCTCCATTCCTTCTATTGAGAAAGAATCAATATATAACACACCAGGGACAGTGATAACACAAACCATGAACCTACTTTACACTTCAATGGTGATAAATTTTAAATTATAACTTTTCAAAATGCTGTGGGTTAACAAAACAGTTTTACAAGTTTAAAAATTATGGAGGGAACTTCTGGAAAATTATAAGTATATAAACAGTCAATTACAATTTACATGGTATACAAATATTGGAAATTCTCACTGTAAGGCAATAATGACAAATGAAACTTCATTACTTTGTTAGGAAGATTAGTCTACCTGGGTAGCTTCATACGTAATGGTTTTAGTCTCTGTTTGAACAATTGGAACTTCTTTAGTTGCAATTTCAGTCTTGTCAGGACTCACTGTATCAGAGATTGTCACCATTTCTGTCTTTACCACAGGAGGCTATTAACAAGAAAGTTAAATAAGTAAAAACCATAAGTAATTTGGAGAATTAACTACAAACAGATTTTACTAAAAACCAATATAAAAGAATAAAGTGAAATTAAAAGAATGGAAAATATTCGAACCATAAGTGGGATAATGGAAAAATTAAAGACATTTATTTTTAAACAGGCAGCATGACACCAGGACACAAACATTAAACTTTTAACTAAAATAAAAACAACATCACAAAATATATGATTTAGTGGCTGCTCAGACCTCCAGTGCAAGCAAGGCAGCCAGAAACCAAGACTGAAGCAGGCAGAGGGTCGGCTGATAACTATTTGTCTGTTTTGGGGAAGGGAAGAAACTTGTTGAATCTAAGTGAATTGAGGTTGCTCCAGAAAACCCATAACAGACCAAGAAAGAGGCATTTATGCACTGGAGAGGACTCCAGATATGAACATTTACTTCTAACTCAATTGCCGTGAACATTTACCTCTGAGCAACATATAACTTCTGGCACAACATCACTATCAACATACGAAACATCTCCATTTAGCTTGGGTCTTGTGTCTTCTTGCTGGTGCTTTGCTTCCTGAAGTTCTCCATTTTGCAATTCTTGCAAACTTTCCTCCGGGACATCCTGCATTTTATGTACCATAGGAAAACGTACTTTGTCAAATTCTGTGACCGAAATCTTGGATTCCATCCCTACTGTTGTTAATGTCTTAAATTCATTTTTTTCTCTCTTTACATTTTCTCCTTCCTTGGTCTGTGGGTGGTATTCTGCCTCTTCCTCACTCTCACTATGGCTATCGGAAGATGAGGCATGACCCTCTTTTGATGGCACCTTACAGGCGGGCACAACTGTGCTACATTCAACAGCTTTTTCAAGTTTTATTTTTGAATGGCCAGGTGCTCTCTTTACCTCTTCAATCACTATTGTTTCTTCCACTACAACCTCTGCCTGCTCCTCCGTCTCGGATTTCTGTTTCTCATCTGAGCTCTACATAAGGAAATGAATGAAAAAAAAGATGAGGCAAGAAGCACGAAATACAACCATGCAAACTTAAAGGGATGATCACTGAAACCAAAACAATAAATGATTAGTGATGTTACAGTGGCTATGTTCTGGTGGAATTACTTAATAAAAACCACCTTGCCAATATCTTCGGCTCCTGCTGGAAACCCTTCTGTTCTTGAAGCATGATCCTGGAGAACAGTAAGCAGTCACAACAACATATAATGAGTAGTCTTTACCACTAATTGATGGAAATAAATCAACTATGACAGATGAAACTGCTGAAAGCACTCCCCACGTAATTATATACAGAATGCAAAACTGTGAAAGATTACCATACAGTTACACACAACATGAAAGCAGAGCAATTTGTTTTTAAAAAATGCGTAAAAATACAACAGGATGTACAAATAATGACCGGAATGAAACACACAAATCATAATAACATGTCAGACAAACTGTGACTTTTATAACTACCGATCATAAATTCCATTCTAAAAGCACCTCAGACAACTGCTTGGAGCATATGAGAGAAACAGATTCAGCAGCAGCTTTTTCTTTCAACCCAGCACCCTCTGATGCCTGAGAAATAGCAGACGAGAAGGAAGTCATCAAGCCTGGTGAGAAGCTCTCTTTACTAAGTAAAAGCGATGTTATCTCCTCTTCTAAGCTCTACGCAGTTAGAAAATTGAGAATAAAGATTAACAAAGATAACAAACAGTCTTACAGAAGAAAAATAGACAGACAGAAGTTACACCATATCACGCGTCTATGTATTATTGGTTGTAAGTAACAAAACATGCAGGTTTTCTTTTACAGCATATACTCATACCATATCTTAATATCCATGCACTCTTCTAAACATAATAAGTAAATAGGTTTTAGGACAATGACTATTCTGTCTCAACCATATTTTCGGAATAGCAAATCCTCAATCCACACAATAGAATTTTAGAATTATAAACATGGTGTTTTGTTGCTGAATGCTTTAGAGTTCACAGAATTGTTATTAAACAGGCATTTCCATACAACATGGAACTTAACACCTGCTATTTATTTCACTTAATACCAGTGTTCTCATAGGCATGCTGAAAATGACTCAGATTCCAAGCAAAATTATGAACATTTTGGAAAATAATAATTAAACAATTTTGCGAAGAAATACACAACTCAGAAAATCTACAAACATACCCCAATAAACATTGTTTGCACCAAGTCATTACATTATTTATATAAAGATTCTATCTATTGGTATGAACAAATGCCAGAAACTGGCCAGAGCAACATCTGGATTAAGATCCTTCCAAAGCAACAAAGCCAGAGGTGGAAAAGGAGAAATTAAAACCAATCAGAGCCGAAGTATAACAAAATAATAAAAAGCTTTTAAGGGGTTCATAAAATTAACTGAACAATTTTAAGAATTGCTTACTGGACCTGGATTGTGTGTTGTGTTAGCAAAACACCCTTTTGATCTCTGAAGGTTGAATCTCACCCACACTCAAAGAACCCCTTGCTCACTGACAGTATGAACAATTTCAGAAAAATATAATCTAGTTCTTAGTCAGCTTCACTCCTAACTTGACAATCATAATACCAGAGAAACCATAAGGACAGCTGGTGTGGGGGGAAAAAAGAAACAGCAGAGTATTGATACAAGGCTGCAACAGGTGAGAAAGAACTTCATTCTGTAGCTGTGTGCTACTCCTGAATTGGCAGTTGCTTAGTAGTTAATAGTTAATCAAAGGAGAAATGCTTTATTTCCAAATACTAACACCCTTCGCCTTTAATGAGGACAAATTGCTATTTAACTTTATATGTCTGTTTCCATTGCTAAAAACAGTACACCAACACAAGAAAAGATAGTCATAGAGCTATAGAGTAATACAACATGGAATAGTTACAGATCATGAAGATTTACAAAAAGAATCAAATGTACACATCTTACAGGAGACATAACACTAGAATGGAAAAATTCTTACATGCTCATTGTGTAGAACACCTAATGGCATGGAGTTGCTGCTGGAGGTAGAATTGGCAAACCTCTTCTAAATTGCATCTGACATCACGTTAGTCTGCCCATGATGAAACTGTGTTTAAGTTTCCTACAATTACTAGCCTAAGTCCAAACCGGAAATCTCTCATGAATTATTGTAACTGAGCAAGATAAATCTTGCACAATACTGTATCTCATAATTCTTTTGACAATGCTTCAGAGTTAAGTTTTAAAATGAAAGCAGGAATGTTAATTTGTAAGTGTTCCTTTTGCATGTTCTTTAAAACTATTAGTTATTGCAAATAGTGAGCTTGAAATAACTGTTTAGATTTCAATGTAGAAAAATGCAATTATGTAACAGGAGGAAAAATTAGGAATGATTGGTCGGTTGCCAATATCATAATTTGTTCAAACACAAAGATGTTAATCCAAATTAGCACTGCAAATATTTTTCTAATATGTATGAAAGCATTACAAGCTGCACAAATACAAACATCCACCATGTTGGATTAAGCTTTCAATTTTATCCTAAGATTCTGCTTCTGACACATACCCCTTCTGTTTGCAGTGATAAGGGTTTGGTTAGTCGATTTTCCCATTCATTTGGACGTGGTTCAGGTGTGGATTCCATGAAACTGCGTTTTAGTTCGCTAATGCTAGCTTGATGTTTCAATAGATCCTCCTGCGTCTTATCAAGGTCCTAATTTCCACACACGTATACAATTAGAATGAGACACAATAGATGAAAACTAAATTAGTCAAAAAAATGAGTAATACACAGGAATGCCTAGGCTCACTGAAAATCTGTTCCTTATTGATTGAAGAAAATTGGCTTGTTTATTTATTGTAAACCTCAATTGTTTAGAAGTTACATATAGAAGGCCAGCTTTAATACCAGATATTACTTGCCTAGTGATGCCTATTTTCTAATAGTACAATTTAGAGAGTGCGTTGAATACATTAGCAATTTGGAACATTAATTATTAATTTCAACAAAACAAAGATCATTTCAGGTGTATCTTTGTTTAAAAAAGAATCATGATTGACAGAATTAGGCCTCTTGCACTTGTAAATTTTAGAAACTATGCTAAAAATAAAGTTGATACACGTTTTAGTTAAAGAACAAAAGTAAATAACAAATTCCTTTCAAGATTTAAAATTAGATATTCAGTGAGGCAAGGCATATGTAATTGCACATTTAGTGTGAAACCCTGCAGTGGTCTGTTTGATTTTAGTATAGATTATACATATTATTTAATAAAATCTCAAAATTATTTCTGAATGGTCAATTAGTCCAGTTACTAGTTCTGGTTAGTAAATGTGCTCATTCATCTTGAGGTAATTGCAGCGAAAATACTTTTGTTTCTACCTGGCACGTGGTTGATATTGCATGCTAATAGACCAAGCTAATCCATCACAGCGCAAAATTTGAAAAATACAACTTTGGGACGTGAAGCGTGCATTCTATTTTGCATTCCCATGCATCCCATGCAAAATCCATTGCAACAGGCTGCTAGTGAAAAAAATTATCCAGCACAAATCATCAGCCCATCTATGTACTTAGATTTTATACAAACCTCCAACATTAAATTGCTATGTCTGATATAAATATTTTCTCCTTCTATGCTCAATGATTTATTCTGTAAAATTGAGAAAGAAAAAGGGAAGAAAATTCCAACATAAAAAATAAATAAACTCACATGAAACATGCAGGCACTAAAATAAAGTAAAAGTTAGGGGAAAAAAAAAGAATAGAGAAGGCATACCACCACACCCCATATGACATTCTAAAGCACTAAAACCTATAACTGAAATGGAAAAGAATGCATTTTGAGTTGAATCAACCTTTTGGTGCTGCATTCTTTCTTCTTCTTGTTCCGACTGAATATATTCAGCAAATTGCAAAAGAAAATATAAATTATTTCTTTGCTATTTTAAAAAGGTAGTTAACGAAAAACAGCAACAATATGAAACAAATAATATATCAACCACAGTTAGTATACTTCAGCTACCTCTATACTTCCAATGTATTTTTGCCCTACTCCACTTTAGCTTTCCACAATTGCTCTTTGAAAATTTCTCTGTTGCAGATGTGCTCATATACAAGATCATAACAACAAGGCTAGAACAGATAGTAATTTCAGGCATTGACATATGCTCTATGCAAATTTACATTAATTAATTGTATGATTTATTAAACATACCATTTCTATTGGTCTATCATTTCAGGCTTGAAGTTTGGGAAACTGAAGCTATGCACTGTTTGCCCAACCCTCTGGTGTGGGCTTAGGAGTGATGGAGGATCAGGATGGAAAGCCAGGGACATAGAGACAGGCCCAATAGGGTTAGCTCATTAATGCATTCCTTTGCTGGGAAACCTTCCTGTTGCAACCTGGGAAGTGGAGTGTTGCCGGTGATGCTCAGAGGTAGACAACCAATTTATACAGTTTGGACCTCAAACGGCAAATAATCTTTCTGGAGTGGGAACTACTAGTTTCTACCTGCTGAATTAATTTCACAGGCACCAGCATTTTGAGCAGTCTTTACAACTGTCAACATGCCTAGGCAATGCCTGGTGGAACTGTTGGGACTCGTGTCTTTCTGGTCCTCCACCTAGCTACAGTATTGGAACCATGCATGCAGCTCACGCACGCAGCCTACTACCCGCCTATGGGAAGACTGCAACATAGGTCCTACAACCAACAAGTGCTAGCACATACCAGACATTGGGAACTTGAAAGACTCTATGAAAGATGAAATTTCAGTTCGCTTCTTTAAGGGGTAAAATCACATTTTTAAACCATTTTTTCTAGTTCTATCAGGGGAAATACCCTCTCAGTATGTTAGCTGTTAAGCTCACTCAGAATCTTAAATTAAGATTACCTTTTTATTTTAAACTCCAATGAGTTTCCCTTTCCTCAAAATGCAACTCCGTCATCCTAGAAATCAGCTTAGTGAACCTTCACTGAACCTTTTAAATTACAAACATACCCTTTCTGAACCAGAGACCAAATCTTTATCCAGTACTTCAGACGTGGTTTGCCCAATACCTTTTGTAATTAATAGTTAAAAGCATTCCTTTTTGTCAACAAATACATTCAGTGCTTATTTACTGGGAAAATGAGGACGGGGGGATTTATGTTTGAAAGCAGTCCCTTGTGATGTCACTTTGCTTGATATAGGCGTGCAACATCTTCAGTACCTCAATCATGTCTTCAGTAGATATAATGGAATCCTAAACACTTACTTTGGTCCATTTGGTTGATTGCCACGTTTCAAATGAGCAACCAAATTGTTGAAATTGAATGGAGAAGAGAAAGGTTGGTGGGAGAGCTGGAAGTAATTGTATAGTGTGTTTCCAGCACAAATTTACCTATTTTGAAGTGGAACAGTGCCACCTGCCTTGCAGCTATTGCAAAATTATTTCTTGATAAAGTAAAATACTCGAGGAAAAAAAGACATTGACCCTGAAATTTCAGTAACTCAAATACATCCATTCAAGTGCAGTTTGAGAGTAATAAAATGGAAACTAACTGCAAATGACATGGCAAACAGTGGGTTTGAACATCTCTGCTTCTAAATTTGTAGGACTCATGCTACAATACAAGAGAGTGTGCGTCCAGATGGTTCAAGATTGAAATAGACATTTGCAGTGATTAGAGTGGACAATGGTAGGCTGGACATTCAGACAAACAGTTCAAGATTCAACAGTAGTCAAAATATTAATATTCTTGGTTTCTGCCAATTTTAAATTTTTTTTAAACTATCCAACCAAAAAAAAATCTATTTTCAAATGCCACACATTTAGCGACAAATTTACACACCTCCTCTTCCTCTGCTTTCTCATTCAGGTCATTGTCATAAGAGGCGTATAATGTAGTCGCCTTAGGCTCCAGGTAGCAGAGAGACAGAGCAAGAGGAAGGGAAAGGGTAAGTGAGAAAGGGACAGACTGGGATGCAGACAAAAGCAGCACAAAGATAACGATGATAGAAGGAATAAGTGATGGAGAAGTAATAGGAATGTACTTTTGAAAGCTTGGTGGAATCAAAGCTGAGCAGTCATCAGGAAGGCTGGGAAAGCTTATATATCCATCCTCATCAAGCAATGAAGGTAATTTACAAGGAAAACACTTGTAAAGCTTTAAAAATGCAAAAGTCAATGTCTTTCTTACAGGATTAGCATTAACTTGTATTTCCTTCAGATCCTGTTGTACAAGATTATTACACTGAACAGGTGCGGTCAATACAGGATCAGGTTGATGAGGCTTAGTTAATAATGCTGCTTCATGCTCTGGAGTTGTTACATGTAGACTATGATTGAAAGAAATAGATTCAAACATACATTCTTCGTCTAATTCACCAATTGAAAAAGCACTACCTTCTGAAACGTCAGAGAGAAAATCTGTCTCAGGGATAGGAAAGAGATTTAAAGAGGAGGAATAGCTAGAATAGGTAAGAGATGGGGGATGTGTGTTATGGAACTAAATTAAACCCAGTAGACACATGTTTATGTTGCAGAAAGTACAGAGAGAACAGAAGGAAACAAGAAAAGAGAAACAATATTAGTCAGAAAGTCACTCAAGATGTGCCACAAATTCAAACAAATGGATGCAGACAACCTTAGCCCTTGCAAGACGGAGAGGGTAAACACAACAAGGAAAAACAGGCAAACACCGTACATCTTTTGCATAATGATTAATAAACTTTAGCTTAGTAACTACCCAGTTCTTTCCTTTTATCATTTTCCTTTTTATTTATTCAAGGGATGTGGGCTTTGCTGGCTGAGCCAGCCTTTATTGCCCATCCCTAAATGCCTCAAAATTCAAAACATGAGAAAATAGTTCATCAATAGTAAAATTGCCAAGTTTTTTTTCTACAAATAGCCCAGCTATATTTTATAAGTCATGGTCCTTTACACTCTTATACATCGCATTAATTTTAGCTATTAAGAATACAGAGCATTTAATAGTGACCCTTGAAATATAATTCAAAATAGTTTTGCTGCTTTACATGATTCCCATGCAACATCAGGATTATTCAAGATCGACAAATATCAAAAGGTTGCGCTGATGACAGAACGCAGCTAATTTATGTGACATTAAATTAAAATAGAGAAAAGACGACATTGTAGTTTCTTCATAAGTGTGTTCGAACTGCCCAAATTTCCTACTTTTTTTGCTGCATCCAGACTTTCCAGTATACCTTAACACTGAACCATGGAAGCCCCTAACTTTTCAACAATTACATTCATTCTTATTAATTTTGACCTCCATAATTAATTACCATATCCCAGAGTTAGAAACTACTGAGTTGGAAAAGTCAGCACATCCGATAAAGGCTACTTTCTGGTTTTAAGAAATTTAAAAGCAGGTAATATTTTGAAATATTCAATCTAAGTGAATTAATTACTTTTCTGCTCCCTCAAATCTTTTCTCTCATTTGTTCAGTAAATAATATCTAATCACAATCAATTTTGCTACCTTTATTGTTAGATTAAATGACTACAGATAATAAACAAGATTTAGGTGAGGAGAAAAAATGTATCTCACTGGCAGGATGTAATACTCATATTGCATTTTCTTCCATCCGCCTTTTCCCCAAACTAAAGAACGTTTCTGAATCAGTCCCACTGTATTCAATCTCTTTTCATCATTTCCATCCCTCCAAGAATCAATTAAGAAACACCATGAATTTTTTCTCCATAGAAAATGCAAGAACATAGTATTGATTTAATCATGGTGTAAGCTACAAGGAATGACAGTCACAGCCAACACCTCTGAAAAAATGTATTACACATGGCTAGATTTTACAACAATTCTTTTTACCCCTTTTCCCAAAAATACTTTCTGATACTTGAAGTGGATGGGATAAATAAGTCCTGTATCATACACATGGTATGTATTACAATTACTATTGTGCGCTAAGACAAAAATCTGGTTGCCTAAAATTTCAAATAAAAATGCACAATACCTTCATTTCCATAGGCATTTCTAGTTGTGATTCTCTTGAAGGAGTCGTTTTGCCTTTTGCTTCTATCTTTTCATCAGTTGCTTCTACTTTAATTTCACCAACTTTGGTGGCAGTCACCTCTGCTGTTGAACTCTGAGGAACATTTAGAGAAGAGGAATCTTGCAGCAGGCCCACCTCATTAATGCCATCTACTGGGGCTGTCAGAGAAAATAAACCCTTTTGCTTAAACTTGTAATCATTAGTTCAATTAGAACACAATGCAGAAAGTAGCAATCAATGTGGGTTCAATCCCAATTCTTCTTGTAGCAATTCACAGAGGCTTGCGTCCTGTCCTTGCCCCTAGTGGAATGGTGCTCATCAAGCTACACATAACCAATTCTGCCTCTCAAATAGATAGAGGTATTCAAAGTCTAGTGTGGATTATGGTTAATTACACACATGAGAGTCCAGAAGTCATACTAATACTGTAGGTTATCTGTTATATATACACTTATCCAAAAAAGAGATCAGTGCTGAGAAAGGAAATAATTTCTGACATCAATGGCTGATATAGTGCAAGGAAAAAAAAAGGTGAGGAAAATGGACATATCTCACCATCTGATTTTTTGTTTCAAACATTGTGTCCAGGAGAAAAGTTACACCCAGACAAAGAACTGGAGTCAAAAATCAAGTCAGAACAATGCCATAACTCTCATAGTCTGGAAAAAAGTCTAGATATTGTTGCATGTTCCATCAGTAGTGCTTATAGGGATAGTCTTCTACAAGTCAATTTAATACAAAGTAATGCCCATTTATGGCCTAATGGATGACTTAACTGTATATGACCTGGAGAAAAAAAATTGAAGATAGTAGACATTTGAATCTAAAATTATTTTTTAACAAAAGGTGCGTTGGAGATTATTTAAGAGAAATGATTTCTCTAGATTTGTCTTCTAAGGACAGATTAAAGTTTGATGGTTTATTGTAATTCATGAGCCACCTACCTCCATCAAGACTTCTGGACAGTCGCTTACTCGAAGTACGCTCAAAATAAGGTGCGGGCCTGTCTATGAGAGTACTGGCCTCCCGTGTTTGAGCCTGCGTGCGGCCACTATAACGGAACTTTGAACCTAAAGTCAAGAACTTGCTTTTTGGAGTTTGTTCAGGGGATAGCAGCCTGAAAACAATGATTTCAAATGTTTTATACATGCAGAATTAAATGCTTTGCACTATTTACATACTATTACAACATTTCCATGTATTAGTTCAAATTTAGGAAGCAACTTTAACAGATATGTTCCGACATCCTCTAAATTTAAGGAATTTAATAAGGAATGTCATCGGGAGCTTTTGCAGTCCACTGTATTTTTGCCAACTAAATAAAATCACCCACTTTTGAGTACGAACGTATATGTAAAGTTTTTCACGCAGAGAGTGGTAGGAGCCTGGAATGCACTGCCAGAGGTGGTGGTGGAAGCAGGCATGTTAGTGACATTTAAGAGGCATCTGGATGGTTACATGAATAGGGAGGGAATAGAGGGATACAAACCAAATAAGGGCAGAAGGCTTGTTTTTTTAGTTTAGTCAGGACACGATCATCGGCACAGGCTTGGAGGGCCGAAGGGCCTGTTCCTGTGCTGTACTTCTCTTGTTTTTTTTGCTTCTGTAATTCATTTTGCTTCCTTTAGAAACTATCCATATCAGGCATGAATTTGTTGTGGGGAGTACTTCATTTTACAAATATGCAATTTCTTTTCCCCTCTTTATCGTATAGATCTATGCAAAAAGCAATTTGCAAAGGGTTTTGGATAAAAATGTACTCTGGAAATTGTAAAAAGTCAGAAAAAAATGAAAGCAAAGGGAGGAATTGTGCATTCATTAATAAAGGATCATTTTCGATTACTATCATAAATACCCGTATATTAGGACTGCCTACGTTTGAATTATTAAAATCATCATTCATTAACTTCGGCTAATCCAACAAATACAGAATAGCCTTACCTGAAGAAAGTGTGATGCTCCACGCAAACCTTCCACAATCGCTTTGCTGCTCGGTGATTAGGCAACTTGAAACCAATAGTACTTTCAAACTGCTCTGTCTAGAAAGGAATATAATCATAAATTTCTAACTGTTAAAGGGGGCTCCAAATAAATTAAAAAGCATTTGCTTCTACAAGAAATAATTTTTTGCACAATCGTTTAAACATAAAAGCTTCTTTTAAAAGAAGAACTCTTTGCTAACCCACAAATGAAACACTCATCTTTCTATGATTGTAAAACATAAGAACAAAAAGCAATTAAATTTCAACTTTTTCCATGTGTAAAACAGATGATTTAAACAGTCCCTCAGGACGAAAGAAGTCTTGGTTCCGCTCTAGTTCTGTGCACTCAGATATGGCTAACCATGTGCATTCTGCAGACACTTACAACATGTGAGGTAGCTAGATGTTGAGTGGAAACAGATGCTGTATGTTTATATTTTCTGTCTACAAACAACAGAGCTTTCTGTATTAATATATGTAGCTCCCAGTACACAAATGGACTACATTGCAAGTCTACCTGATAGTCCTAATTTGATTGTTAATATAATCCTTTGCACACTTAGAATTATTTAGCAAATGTGCAAAGTGGTTCACATTTTCACTTTGGATCTTAATCGATGAGCAGAGTAATGTTATGCTCTAGGAGTGAGTTCAAAAGGATCTTAGTTGTTTAGTTGTTTAAATTAAGAACCATCTTCTTTAATATCACAGTGAAAGAATCAACAATAACTTGGAACTTATGGCATATACAGAAGCTTTGTCATCAAGCTTCAGTACACAGACAGAGGGTGGAGTGATCTTAGCTTTGGAATGGAGGCAACAAAGATTGAATAATTTCACATCCATCTGCTTATCTCCATAACTGAGGGGAACCTGCTGGAGGTGCACTGTAGAGCTATGGTGAGACAGATGGAAAAGAGGTTTGACACAGCTGCACTTGATAACCGAAATGGACCAGTTGCAAGGATCAGATTTGCATGTCATCACATAATTAAAAAAGGATGGTGACAGACTTTGGAATACAAACAAATTTGAGGAAGACACTGCATAGACTCTCATGAATCACAGAGTCAAAGGCTTTCATGAGGTCAAAAAGTTACGTACAATGGTCATATTGCTCCTTGGATTTGGAATCTTGAAGGATTCTTGCAATGCTGTTCCCTAATGCAAAAAAATCAGGGAGACTCCCATGTTTTTACATCAATCAGATTTAACGCCTTGTTTGGAGATGATCATGATTATGGTGACTCAAGATCTCATGGCAAGAGCTTCTCTTCCCAGGTAAGGAATATGGAGCTTTTGCTATCAACTGCAATTCAGAAATTTACTAGATTCATCTACTCCATAGGCCTTGTTGTTTTTCAACTAATGAATGGCTTTTATTCAAGGCTGGATAGTGCTGGTATATGGACAGAAAAATTCAAAGCACGAGTAGGCCATTTGGTGCCTCAAGCCTACTCTGCCAATCAATAAGGTCATATCCTTGCCTGGTATGCAGTCCAAGGCTTTCTACAGAGTTTCCTGCCTGTCTGTATACTACTCAAGCACAGAATCTAAGTTCAAACTCCACTGCACTATCGTCAAGCTGGATAGTGCCCTTGGGGATGGAGTGAGGATGCTCAGGTCAAGAAAGAATCTCAGTTGAGGGTGCTCTTAGAAACGTTCATTCTAGTAGGCAGTGAATGCCTCTGTCCTTTGTCCTTGGCAAGGAGCACCCCTTGAATATTTGGGGTGTAGGTAAGCTGAACAGTGATGAAATACCGATGCACGTCAAGGATGTCGACAAGCAGTTGTCTTTCCTGCACTCTTTCCATCCATTTGTTCACAAGATATCCAGCTGTTTGTTGTACTGCTGTTTATAGAGTGTGCAGTGTGGTGATGCTTCCAGTATGTGAACACCTTGCACCTATGTTCGATTAACTCCTCTATCACAAACCAATCTCTGTATTTCCAGGTATAGAAGCCAAAAATGTCTGATTTGATGTGAATCATGAACGTTAGAGTGGACCAGGCAGTGTGGACACATAGCAGCTCCTATCTGCTGGGATTAATGAGACTGCAAACAAGAAGCCAGCTAAGAAGATCTGTTTTCGTGGGATACTGAAGACATTCAATGTAAATTTCCTTGCTGCAGTGTTTCAACGGTTGTTTAAGAGGCAGATTGATGGAATTAATAGGCAAGACTATATGATGAATGGTTCAGCAGTTGTCAATATCTGTCTTGGTACAAGTAACACATACATTCCTGCGACCGTTTGCTCTGGTTATGCAGGGGTCAATATGTAAACTGACAATGCTGACACAAGATCTTTGCTGTTTGACAAAGCAGGTTACAACAAGGTCATGCTCTAATTTGTCAAAAGTGTTTTAAGATCAGGCTTCGGGATTCATGCAAGATATAACTACATGCTGCAATGGGAATACTGCAGAGTTGGCATGCTGAAGCACTCAAATCAAATGGCTGGAGAATCTGATTCACTCATACTTATCAATACAACACAGACCCAGAATTTAATAAAACAAAGACCCGCAGATACAGGCGATCGGAAACAAAAACAAAATTCAGAAATTGCTGGAGAAACTCAGAAGGTCTGGCAGCATCTGTGAAAAGCAAATAGAGTTAACATTTTGAGTCCAGGTGACTCTTCATGAAATGGGTTGCTTTCAGAATAGCCAGCCCATTTCCAATTCTGCACTGACCCCATTATCATCTATTTAGCTCCTTTTCTTCCTTGGCTTAGTATCAACAATCCTTTTGTCTTCCTATTCTTAATTTCTCTCTCTCTGGGCTTCCTCTCCTCTTAGAGATAGTAGGAACTGCCAATGCTGGAGTCTGAGATAACAAGGTGTGGAGCTGGATGAACACAGCAGGCCAGGCAGCATCAGAGGAGCAGGAAAGCTGACGTTTCGGGTCTGGACCCTTCTTCAGAAATGGGGGAGGGGAAGGGGGCTCTGAAATAAATAGAGAGAGGGGGAGGCAATGATAGAAGGTGGATAGTGGAGCAGATAGCTGGAGAGAAGATGGACAGGTCAAGGAGGTGGGGATGAAGCCAGTAAAGGTGTGTGTGGGTAGGGAGTTGGGATGGGGGTTGGTCAGTGAAGAGGAAGGGGCGGGTAGGTGGGAGGGAAGACGGACAGGTCAAGGAGGCTAGAATGAGAGGGGGTGCTGGTCTTGGGATGAGGTCAGGGGTGGGGAGATTTTGAAACTTGTAAAGTCCACATTGAGACCATTAGGCTGTAGAGTTCTCAGGCAGAATATGAGGTGCTGTTCCTCCAATTTCCTTCTCCCAACCCCCAATCCTCCTTACCAGCATAATTACCACCTTTTCTTAGTTGCTATCAGTTCTGAAGAACAAATGAAAAAGTACAGTACAGGAACAGGCCCTTCGTCCCTCCAAGCCTCTGCCGACCATCGTGCCCTAATTAATCTAAACACAAACCTGCCATTTTTCGATCCGTATCCCTCTATTCCCTCCCCATTCACATACCCATCTAGGTGCCTCTTACATGTCTTCAATGTACCTACTTCCACCACCTCTTCTGGTAGAAGAGACACTGGACTTGAAATGTTAACTAGTTTCTTTTCACAGATGCTGCCAGACCTGCCTTCGTTCATTTAGAGCCAGAATTTGATGCACACTCCAAACCAGTTTCGGGGTGCCACCTATTGGTAATGGCCATCCCACAGCAATAATGCTGCAGGTGCACCACCCAACTGTCAGATCCCGCTTGCATGGCTCTGCTTCCCCCAACCAGTGACTGGTCTCAAGGAAGCTCTGTTATTGGCAATGATGTCGCTGAGACTATCAAGCTGTTGACAAGGTTTCTTTCTTCACAAATGTTGCTTGACTTAGAGATTACTTCCAGCATTTTCTTTTCAGAGTTTCAGCATCCACAATATTTTGCTTTTGAATTTATTTCTTGTTATTTTAAGTTCCATACTAACTGACATTGCAAATGGCTTTCATTTCTCCGATTCCATCAAATTTCAAAATAGACATAACCCCATCTCAAAAAAAAAAAATCAGTTCCTGCCAACTATCAAGCCACTTCCATCCAAATTGTCTCCAGATTCTACTTTGGTTCTTTCCAAGTTCTCTATAAAGACACTGAGTTATTTACATCCAACTTCAAGCTCTCACTTTGATCCAGATGGTTCAATTTACTAGACTTCTAATTTCCCTCCATCCCTCATCGATCATCTCTGACGTTCTCTTTCTGGACTTGACTCTTCCTCTATTAAGAAATGGGCTTTCCATAGGAATCTGCTTTCAGAACTATTTGGATTAAGGTTCTTCCCACTGCATTTTCACACAGAAAGCTCCATTCATCTTTGTTACATTTACAGGATTGATCTCCTCTTTTGTCACCATATTTTCTGAAATGTCTGCTCCCCTGAAAACTTGCCCCCCACAGGAGTCACGCGGACCCTTGACTTTCAATTCTCAGCCTCTGTTCTTAGCTCAACCCATCTTAATCAGTTACATCAGAGTTCTCTCAAACTCATTTTCATTACCGCCTTTCATATTTCACAAATAATCTTCTACAACTAATATGACTATACCTCCACGTACATTTGAAATGCCTCTACAATGCCTTTGTCTACTCTATCATCCAATTTCCTATGCAGTAGCAGGACGTACAACACTCAACAGATTCCAATTCCAGGTGAGATGGAAATTACAAGCTTTTCTTGTACTCTAATACATCTTGCCTACTGCTGTAGGGCACTCATCTCCACACTGGGGAAACTGAAGATCGCTTTGCCAACCACTTTTCTTTCGTCAGTTGCTTGTGCTTTTCAAACATTCTATGAAGCTTTTTTTCAGAAAAGTCAGAGCACACAAATGTTAAAGCCTAAGAGCATGGAACACAAACATTGAGCTTTCTCAAATTGTTTTCTGCTTTTAATTTGCACCCTGTTATCTTAAATAAGTTAACGTTAACTCTAAATATACAGACAAATGGCATTTTGATAAAGCCTTACCTCTCCAGGTCGAATTTTAATGTAAAAATTGCTTCGTTTATAGGAAATTTTAAGAATTTTTGGCCAAGCAAAACGGTTAATTCGGAGACGATCCTTGTAGATCAGCAGGCCATTTGCACATATGCCCAACATAATATCCACACCTTCCGAATCCTATTTAAAAAGTAACAAAAATTTTTTTAAAATATCAACATGGCATTGCTAATTCTTGAAAATACTAAAACTAATTTTCAAGGTAAATTAGCAGATAACTATTACTCACAAGTAATGCAAAAGTTTCCAAAATACGGAACAATTAACTTTATGTGTCCTTTATATGGCCTTTTTTATGGTTCATTACTGGATAACTGGCAGGCATATAAAATCATAAGACAAAGGAGCAGAGATTGGCCATTTGGCCGATCAGGTCTGCTCTGCCATTCAAAGAGATCATAACGTAAATACTTAGTGTCCAATAGCAGATAGTAGGGATAAATTGGACATTTCAAGTTAACAGGCTACTGGTGGTACACTACAAAGATCAGCTTTGGTGGCCTCAGCTATTTACAATCTACATCGATGATGTTCTGATAAAAGGTCACTGGACTCAAAACATTAATTGTTTTTCTCTCCACAGATGTTCCCAGACCTGCTGAGTTTCTCCAGCACTTTCTGTTTTTGTTTTAAATTTCCAGCATCTACAGTTCTTTGTTTTATTCTACTAACATATCTAATTTTACTGATAATGTAAGCCTGGGTGGGAATGCAAGCTTTGAGCTCCAAATTTTTGGATTGTATTATAAATCACTCCCAGATATACCATGCTGATGTGGTACGGCTGATGCTTTGTGGATAGTGACTTCTTGGGATGGAGGATCCAGGGAGTTGTTGTCCATCCAACGTGCCCTGTGATGTTGGGGAACGTTGGACAACATGAGACAGTAAGAACTGCCGATGCTGAAGTCAGAGATAACACAGTGTGGAGCTGGATGAACACAGCAGGCCAGGCAGCATCAGAGGAGCAGGAAAGCTGACGTTTCGGGTCTGGACAATTCTTCAGAAAATGGACAAGATGTAGAGAAGACACCAGTGAGCTGCAGCTGTTGGATAAGCACTTGACTTTCACCATATAGTTTCACATTGATTCTTGGGAGAGTAGCAACCTGGATATAAATGAGGCAGGATTAGATAATAATATGTCAATGTCTGCAAATCAGGCTCTCAACACTTACAAGCGAGATTCTCATCTAGCCATTGAAACCAATACCCAAGTCATGTAGTTGCTGGGAAAAAATGCCCTACGTTTTGATTTTTTCATACAAGAGCTTCTCTTACAAATAAACTAATATCATCCTTAGGAGTGTTGCTCAACATTATATTTCTTTTCACCCATCTCTCCAAAAAAATTCACTATTTATGGATATTCAGTTTCTAATCTCGGTCACCTTTCCTGTAATGGCAATGAAATCATATCTGTTTTCCTCACTTTGCACATTCAAATCTTCAACATTTGTGAGTTCAACATCTTTCTCTGGAATCCGAGCACCATTTTAGATTCCAATTCCCTTGCCAATCTATTTCAAAATTCCTACATTGGTAAATGAAATAGCTTCAATACTTGTCATTTTTTAAAAAGAAAAAGTTACAATACCTTCTGCTCATCATCAATACTGCTTCCCAAACCTTCCACTCATCATCAATCCTGCTTCCCAAACCTTCCATGCTCTGATTCTCCAGGTTGCTGAAAACTTATTCCCTTCACGTTCAAATTTACTCTCTGAACCTCCAGCTTCTAACCTCACTCTCTGACCCTTCTCATCTCCTGAACCTGCATTTCTTTCAAGATCCATGCATTTTTTAAATTGCTGCCGTTTGCTCTGTCCTTTTCCTGAATCTCTGCTTGAGCAAGGACTACCTACATAAGCAACAGGAGCACCAATTTCAGATGTAGTCATTGTTTAAAAAAAAAAAAAAAAATTCTGGACCAGAACAGCTCCAGTTGAGCAATTCTGCATGATAGGGGACACAACATTTGAGTTCTAAATTTGAATCTGATCTGAATTTCAAAAGGGAACACAGGTTAGAACAAAGAAGTCATGAGAGACTGAGTCAGGTATGGGAAGGGGCTGCAGGTCAGAGGATTGGGCACGAGAAAAGGTTGCAAGCTGGAGTTTCAGGCATGGGAAGAGGTGAGAGGCGCCGCTCCATAATGCTGACAGTTAGGTCACATAGTCCAATGTCAAACCACTGGAAGCTGTTGAAAACAAATCTTGTGATTCAAGCTAAGAATGAAGGCTCCTCTAATGGTCATGTGAAACATTAACTTTACTATTTTTTGACTCCCTATATCTAGTAGCCATACATACTAAATGTAACATGAAAATTGCTTCTTATTTTGGGGCAGCATGGTGGCTCAGTGGTTAGCATAGCTGCCTCACAGCGCCAAATGGGATGAGTGGGATGCTCGTCAGAGGGTCAGTGTGGACAATAGGTCAAATAGCCTGCTTCTGCATTGTAGGGATTCTATGAATTATTCCACACCTTTAAATCCATGACCACCACCCAAGGGTCAAATTATCATCGACTGTGATGGTGTCCTTTTTCTTGCAAATCTAACATTTATCACGTCCCTTGCATAAGCTTATTGTATTTCTCATCCCTTATTTCTGCATCCTTTACTAACATTTTTAACTTTTTGTAGGGTGGGTGGGCAAATAGCCTATGCTATTTTAACACAACCGTCTTTTTCTTCAAAGTTCCTCATCCCTGATATCAAGACCATTTGTTTTTTTAATATACTGGAGAGGTTATATTCCATTATGTAAATACATTAGTGTCTCAATTGTGTAAATAGCAATTTCACAAGTTTTCCAAATACACCAGCATTATTTTCCACATCCAATTTCATCTGTAATTTCTTCATTAATTGCCAACTTAATAACAATTACATCTGAAATTAACAATCTGCATCCACACTGACCAAATAATTCTCTCAACATATTTTACAAGAACTGACTATTCTTTTTTAAAGATTTCAGTGTGCTAAACTGGTCCTGAACCTGGAACTCTCAAATTCCTTAACTTTGTTCCAATCCTTATTATTTAGAGTCCAAGTGGCATTTAGCCAGTTTATTCCGCATATGGTCAATGTTCATCTGCTGTCGAATGTCACAGCTGAAGGATTCCGCCTACAACATATTCATCAATGGACTGAAACTTCTTGTGATCAATACAAATGCCTCCCTTTGATCGATATTTCCATTTTCTTCCTCCAAATCCTCCGCTTCATGTTGTGTAAATGGAAATGCTATTATACGGTTTTGGGCAAATCATGGCATAATGGTATTTTTTAATTACACCTTAAACGTCAACTAACCACACCCTGGACATTTCTGGTGTTCACTCATTTTCAATCCCTTTTTATCTTGCTCTTCAAAATTGTCAAAAGCATTTCTGTCCTTATTTTATTTAAAGTTCTTGTTTTATACTGGATTTAGAGGTGTGGAATAATTCTTAGAATCTCTACAATGCAGAAGCAGGCCATTTGGCTTATTGAGTCCACACTGACCCTCCTACGCGCATTCCACTAACATTGTGTCCTCCATTTTCCCTATTATGACTGATTGTCCTAGTTGCACCATTAAAACGATAGGGTATTGGTATAAGGTGAAAGGGAAAAGATTTAAAAAAAAAAGGACCCGAGGGGTAACTTTTTCACACAGAGGGTGGTGCGTGTATGGAACGAGCTGCCAGAGGAACTGGTGGAGGCAGGTACAATTAAAACATCTAAAAGGCATCCGGCTGGATTTAGGATTAGAAAAGGCTTACACGGATATGAGCCAAATGCTGGCAAATGGGACTAGGTCAGATTAAGATTTCTGGTTGGCATAGATGAGTTGAACTGAAGGGTCTGTTTCCATGCTGTACGATTCCATGATTCCATGAGTGCTTTCCAAAGAATTTCTTAATGATTCCAACATTTGTTCAAGCAGTGTGTGGCTATCTCCAAATTTAACTGCCATCAAAACTAGAAATGTGTCTATACTTGATACTTGTGCATAGTCTCAATGAATTAAATGCCAACGCAGATAGAGGAATTTCCAGAATCTTGTATACATCGTACTGATTTCCATTTGGTCTTCTATCTAATCTTCATTTGATCCAAATTTGTCAAAATTTGACCATGCTTCATGAGCAGTTCAAAAATCACCTTTTTGATCATTTCCTCCACTTCAGTTACTGTACCCAAACCTTCGTCTGTGTTCAAATGATCAAACGTCAATTCCAAAAAAAAAAACTGTTATTTGTCCTGGTATTGGCATCAAAACAAAAAAAAAGATAAAGCCATTCCATGTTTCTTCTTTGGAAGGGCAGTAACCATGGTCCACATGGTTACCTTGTTTATCCACAAATAATAAGGTTCATTTTCAGAAAGCATAGAAGGCTAATCACACCTTGATACTTTCCACTAAGATTCAGCCATTTTTCTAGTTTTCTCCAAAGTACTCTTGGTTAGAAGACTGCTTAGTTTTCAATTCTTGACTTACAAACAGCTAACCATCTTCTGCTACCAATATTAACAGAGTCCAGTCATATACATGTCTATTCAGAATTTAATTTCTAGCTCTTACAACACAGACTCCAATAACTATGCTTGCCATTTTTATAAATGGAGCTCTCACCAATTAGCCCTTAACATATTAGTCATCAACTCTTCTCTACTTGCATTAGGCGTCAAGCATCCTTCTGGACTTTACTAGATGATAACATTTCTTCTTGCCAATGCCTACTTTTTCAGCTTTGTCACATCAGCTTTACTTATTAAATTAATCAAATTGCAAAATACAAAATTAATTATAGAATGGTTACTGTACAGTACAGGAGGCGGGCATTTGGCCCATCTTGCTGGTTCTTTGTAAGAGCTATTCAGCTGGGGTCATTCCCTGGCCTTCTCACTCAAGTCTTGTATTTTCTTTCTTCTAGATTATTAGCCAAATCCCATTTGGAAACAATAATTGAATCTGCCTCCACCAAACTCTCAGCAAGGGACATCCAGATCCTAACAACTTGCTGTGTAAAAATCACTTTCCCTCACATTACCTTTGATTCCTTTGCCATCACTTTGTTTTCTGGCATGTCTGGCACAAATATCTAAACAATGCATAACATCATGG